AAGAATAAGCCAAGCCCCAAGGAGTAAGCCATGCTTGGCGCAATACTAGCCGTAGAGGAAGATTTCAATTTTGGGTTGAGCCGCAGCCAAAGAGGAGGAAAAAAGGAAGTCACGTCATCCTCGTGTGCAGAGGAGTCAAACTTGCGGTGTTGTGTAACGTACGAGAAGAAGAGCTCCTATGGGAAGCTCAACGGCCCTTGCATCTTGTCGGAATAAGAGGAAGTTTCAATTGTTGTCGAGAGGAGAGACTTCACACAGGTGACATCTTGAGCGAAGCAGAGGTTACGTGAGACTATGAGCAAAGTAAGAAAGGAAGCTCAAGAAGTGGGTAAGGGTCGAACCGAAGCATATAAGGTAAGCTAATTTTTTCTTTTAAGTTTTGTTTTACACAGTAATTATGTTATGATTATCGTATAATTAATATATAATTGTAATAAGTAACGTAATAAGTTATTATAGCGGATTTTATTATTTGATCATAGAATGTGACAAGTCGAAGAACATTTGCTTTCTAAGATTTGAAGATTTTACTTGTTGATTTTACAAAAGGAGGAGAAGGTAAATGTTAAAACTTTTAATGTGTTATATAATTTTAGAATAATTAATTAATTGAAATGATATTAAATCTTAATATGAAGTTTTGTTAAAAAAAAATATTTAGACCGAGAAACCTTTGAGATTGAAGGAAGAAAAAAAATTCCATCATAAAGGTTAAGTGTTTGAATTGAATATTAATAATAATCAAATAAATATTAATTTAATTATTCAAATAAATTTTATTGATTAATAATGTCAGAAATTTGAGGTGGAAAATATTCTGATCTGAAAACAAGATATGTCAACATTAATAGGGTTAGTGCTTCCTAATTAAGTTTGAAAATAGCTTTTCATTGACATTTATACATGTGAGCAGTAAATTTTACTGAATGATGTTAGATTTTGGCAATTCAAATTATTAAATTGGAGAAACGACAGAAGTAGAACGGTGAAAGCTTGAAGTGAGTAATTATATTTTTAGATTTCACTAAATATTTACATTTAAAATTGTATGTTTCATTTCGTGTGCTCCCTAGTTCAATAATATTGTTAGACAGGATAGATGTGCATGTTAAATATAGTGGCATAACAATTTAGTATATTGATATAAGAACAATGCATGACTTTAGTAGAGATATACATATTAACTTATCGCATGATCATATATATATATATATATATATATATACATCACATTACTATTAAACCTCTAAAATTTTAGTAAATGTGCATATATTAGTTGATTTCATGACTTAGAAACATTGTAAGTTTGCATTATTCATCAGTAAATAGAGGCAAATGTTTCATAGAAAAGAATTCATGATATGAAAGAATGAAATAATTTATATATGAATGCTTGAATGTGCATGTTCAGAGGAGTTCATCCTCTAATGGTACAGACAGTGGACATCAGTGTATCCGTGTCGTAGTATTTCTACTACCCCAAATAATTTTAATAGTTATTTCACTAACCGCTGTGCCGACAAGATAATATCAATCAAGGGACAGTAGACAGAGCTTATCACCCCAGACAATTGTGATTTATTGATTGCTGATCGATGTGTCGAAGGGATAATATCAGACAAGAATTGGTAAGTGTCTTTCCAACCTAGACAATTGCGATGTGTAGATCGCTAATCGTTGTGCTGACAGAAGCAAATGGGGGCAATATCAGTCAAGGATGTGTTAAGTTGTTTTGATGGTAATCCTCAAAGCAGACAATGCGTATATAAAGAGTATAAAGTAAAAGTAAAGTTAAAAATTAATGCATGTAAAAATTTATAGTATTTTCATTCAGAAAAGGTCATCGATCTGTGCATTGGTATATTCAAAGATTTCATATGAAAGATTGGCAAAATAAAAGATTTTTTATAGAATATAAAAGACCAGCATGCATATTGATTTTTTTTCTTAGATTATTGTAGTTTGGAAGTGTGATTACTCCTGAGTTATTTTTAGTAACTCATTATGGTTTTGATTTTTTTTTCAAGTTTAAACTTTTGATAAAAATGAATAGAAGAGGATCAATTGGGTACAAGAGGTGAGAATAACAATAAAAAAGGTACAAATTTCTAATTATTAACTAAATTTATTTTCTTTAATGGCTCATTCGTGAATAATTGAATATTTAATTGTTTGTGACAGAAATAAAAAAACAGAGAATTTATTTTCACTGTTTGTTCTCCTCTTGGTTAATTCCAAGCCCCGTGTCGGGTCATGACAGAGTTTATTTCTCCAATTATTATTTTATTTGATTTACATTGTTTAAAAATTCTTATTTTAGGCGAACAATATATGAACCCAATTTCAGATTTTGAAAGTGGTGTTGAAGAACTTGAACTAGCAATCACTTTTACTTGTGTTGATGATTATAATAAACATTATTTAACAAAAAAACCATGTCAAACTTCTACTCTTCAAGGTCACGAATATCTAATTGAAATAATGCGAGAATATCAAGCTAAATATTTTGAAAGTTATAGAATGTAACCTTAAGTTTTTATTAATTTATCTGCCTTGATGAAGCGTAAAAGTTTTATGGACTCAAAATGACCAGCTATGGAGAAACAACTTCCAATTTTTATGTCTATTTTATCGCATAATGAATGCTTAAAAGTGGTTGTTAAATGATTTTAGTATTTTAATGGAGACAATCTCACGACATTTCAAAAAAACTTTGAAAACAATTTGTCACTTGGAAACAGAAATTATTATTCCACCATCATTTGAGGTGATTCCTCCTAAGATCCAGTATAATTCAAAGTACTATCCTTTTTTTAAGGTATGTTTAATTTTAAAAGTTCAATTTAATTGTTTATTTGAATTATGAAAATTAATTTCTGTTTTTTTGAATAGGATTGTATAAGTGCAGGAACACATATTATTGCAAATGTACCTAAGGAAGATCAAATTCCGTATCGAGAAAAACATAAAGAATCAACCCAAAATGTAATGAGTGCATGTGGCTTCGACATGATATTTACATACATATTGTTCGGTCGTGAGGGAACAACGAATATGCAATATTGTTTCTAGAATGTATTTCAAATTTTCAATTAAATTTTTCGATGCCACCATAAGGTATGTCAATTTTATTTTATTTTTATCAAGTTATCTAATTATTAAATGATATTTATAGTGAATTATGTATACATGTCCTTTCAAAAAAGCGAAAATATTATTTCGTTGATTTAGAATATGCTAATATGTCAGGATTCTTAACACTATACAGAGGAACATGATATCATTTGTGTGATTATCATGAGGCCGCTCAATTTCAAAAACAAGAAATCTTTAATTATAGGCTTCTTCTTTTTGAGATGTTATTGAGCGATGTTTTGGAGTTTTAAAAGCAAGGTTTTCAATCCTTAATAGAATATCTCCCTATGATTTATACATACAAAGTTATATTGTTACTGCTTGTTGCACACTACAAAATTTTATAAGATAATAATCCATGGGAGGTTCATTATTTGAGATGTACGGAAATCAAAATTTTGTAGTTGGCACATGAGGAAGACCTGCATCAACTCTTGCCTCACAAAGTTCTATTGAAGTTAATGTTTCTCAAACTCAGTTGCAGTACATGGCATTATTTCGAAATCCTGTTGTCAGAGAACTTTATGTTTATCTTACAATGTTATCAATGTGATGTTGGATTTCTTTTGTTTTGTGTTAAAAGGTCATTTGCCTTATTATCAGACATATAAAGTTTTAATTTAGTGAGAATTTCCTCATGATTTTATTATTTGTTAAAAGACAACATATTTGGATGTGTTGACTTTGATATTATTCATGTAACTCTATTCCAATTGATATGACAGGATTTCAAAGACAAGCCACTGCTCAAAGTCTACCTCTTAAAAATTAATTGACAAAATTTCAATCCATTAATAAGGATAAATCTCTTAACAAGTATATGAAAAAATTCTAGTCATTACTTAGGATATATCTCTTGATGATTTTCAAACTCTAACAACGTTTAATTCTAGTCAACAAGCTTAGATTAAATCTGATCAATGACTCCTTCCCCAAAAACATCCATGCCTAAAACAAAACAAAGGTAATTGAGAGGAACAATAATTCCAGGAAATGAGAAAACAGAGACTAACAAGAAATCTCTCAAAACATAAGAATGATAAGAAAAATACTTAAAGAAAGATAGAGAACATGCATTTCTAATAAGTGTTGCCTCATTGTGATAAGATTGCAAGCAATTTAAGTAATTTAGGAGATAAACACCTCTAAATTGGACACAATGGTAGAAAGCAAGCAGTGATTAAGATGGACAAAATCATATCGCATCTGATCAAAAGCCAAATCAACCGTTATATATGAAGACAATATCAAGGATCCAAAAGAATGTTTGTTAAACAAAAGATAGACCATCTGCGCAAGCAATGCTCTGCTTTCACAAAATAATTCATAGAATATGTGATCAACGAAGTTGCTCCGTTGGTCTTACGTAAGATAAACTTCGAAAGCTAGAATTTGTATGATCAAGATGCAATTCCATTGAATATCCCAATAATATCAATTAACTCCACTAAGAAAATAATAATTAAGGATGGGCAATGATACCAAGTGATGTACCATCACACTAAACTGTCACATGGTTAGTTAGAATTGGTTGGGCTAAGAGACTTTCAAATATCTGAAATATGTGTCTTTCTTTAAATCTATTGAACTCAAGACAACCAAATAAAAAAAAATTAAAAAATAAATAAATAAATAAAACTTGACTTGAGTTTGAATACCAACATTTTGATATGCTCATCCTTACATCCACACCGTTACAAATCATTATACAACTAATCCAAACTGTCCCACGTACAAAACAGATAGGTAATTGAGCAAACAATGAAATCCCTGGCCTCACAGGTTTGATATTATGGTTACTGAAACAAAGCATGGGTGCCTGTGACTTTAATGGATGAAAGAATAACGGGAAAAAGAAAGATTACCTCAACCACACGATGGACAATTGGAATAGTTCGTCCCTGCAAATAGTAAACAATAAACCACAATATAGTTTTCTAAAAGCAGCACATATGCTGTACCTAAATTAAGCAAATATAAGTGAGAAAATTTAGTGCCCCTGGTACCTATGAGTTTCAAGAAATGTACAACATGAAGCAATAGTGTTTTGGCAACTATAAGCATTAGAAGAGTGAAAATCTCTGTAAAACATCAACTTGAAAGTACTATTTTATGGCTTTCATAAAAAGGGACCAGAAAAATATAATTATCCAAGTTAATATCAAGGCCCCTACACAATTTTTTATTATCCATTTAAAGGGGATTCAAATGATATAACATAACTCAAATTTTGCTAGTAATAGGCAAAAATTGGCTACATGACATCATCCATAAGTAGTGCGCTAATTGTGGTGAGAAGTAGATTAGGGTTGGTTAGCAAATCAACGGGAATTTTGAATCACAACTGAAACTAATAATGGTAAAAATAGGGTAAAAGTTAACATTTTAAAATTAAAATTAATTTGTCACATGAAATATGATGATTTTGAATGCAAAAAGTAGAAACTTAATAAGCATAATGATTACAAGAGAATAGCTATTTTTGCTCGCAATAAAATAAATAAAAAGGATAAAAAAAATTTACAAACTTCGGAAAAAGTTATACGCATGTTGACCTCATTTTTGTGAGGTCTTTTCTTCTCCTCCTTAGAGCCTAGGTTCTAGCTCTAGAAATTCCTATGGACCATCTTAGAAAACTAGAATTGAGACTCACCCTTCTAGAAATTCCAGCCAATTCCTATTCCTTTGATGTCTAGCATCTTGGCACAAGACCATCGTCTTATGAACGAGCGGTTATGGGCTATGTTGCGTAGATTCAAGGAAAATGTTCCAAATAGGACTTCAAGCCTTAGGAAGACATCGTCACGACCTTTTTCGTCACGTACACACACAAAGTACACGAAGTTCACGAAATTGCGCGAAATCGGACTTCAATTAAGCCCAAAGAACGGGTGAAAATGCGAACTTCTCCGGATGACCTCCGACGACAAATGGGACTGCGCCAACGCGTCCGAGATACCCATTTTGGTAGGAAATGACACCCATATTGCCATACTTTTGACACGAGAAAATTGGCACGCAAATCGGTGAATTCATCGAAACGACCTCTAACGACAAAACAGACAGCGCCGGTGCGTCTGGAATGTCGATTTTGCCTAGGGAAGACACCCATTTTGTTACGACACCGCGCGTGAATGAATCGCATGTGATTTTATATATATATATATATATATATATATATATTTATATATATATATACACATATATATTAATTTATATAAACTAAATCTTCCTTTTTTTTACATTCCTAAATCCCTAAATACCCGAATGCACTTG